GTATTGTTGCGTCTAGAGGTTACATATGAACTGCTCTAAGGATCGGTACGTGTTGTGGAACGGCCGCGATCGAGTAAGACTTGGAAAAGTAGTCAGCTTGGAACTAGAAAAAGGGGTATTGCCGCGAACAGGAGGGTCGTCTGGAGTTATACTTCAGTAGTTTGACTGCGGTCCGGAGCACGTTGTTACGAATCGGTCGCCATTGCGGGGCCCTCAAGAGTTGAAGATTGCAAGGCCCCCTCCAGTGAGCTTGAGAGCACCCTTCTTGTATCTGAGGGTCTCAAACCTATAACTTATGTCCTTCTTTCTCTAAGTCTGGTCCTGACCTGAGGGGAAAGCGGCAGGCGGGATTGCAACCCGTAGGTTCGCATCAAGACCGATTGTGGGAGCTCTGCCGGAACCTAGGCGAGGTTCTGGAGGTAGGGAACTTTCAGGTATACTATCTTTCAATTGTATAACCCACTATTACCTATGTTTGCCTATCTCCGTGCAGTATGACTGTTTGTATGCATGTGTTGTCCCTATGGTTTTTGTTTTCTCTTCAGGACTTAATCAGATTGAATGGAAAAAATGTGCGAGAGTAAAGCATAAGTTTCAGTTTATTTTGATTGAAAGCAGACAAGGGATGAGCTGGGGAGAAGGTGGGAGGAAGGCAGACTGTTTGTGATTGACAGGGTCAACCAAAGCCTTAGCATTGCTTCTACTGTGAATGGCTCAGGGCTATGTTTATTTGGCTGTTTTCTAAAGGACCAGGCATTGTTTCTACTGTGAATGGTCTGGTTGCTATGTTTATTTAGTTGTTTTCTGGAGTACCAGGCATTGTTTCTACTGTGAATGACCTGTTTACTGTAGTTAACTCTGAGGGTTTGCCTAATTGAAGGGGTTTTAGTTCTTGTTTATTCCGAGGGAGGAGTTTTGGTCTAAGGCTAAGCATTGTTTCCATAGTGAATGGTTTAGCCTGAAAACCACGCACATAAATTAAATTGAGTATAAAGGAAAGTATTTTATGTATATTTGCATGCGAATTGGCAGCTGGACATTGTTTCTACTGCGAATGGTCCAGCGTTAAGCCATATCATTAAGAAGAGAAAATGAAAAAAATACAAAGTATAAATGGAAATAACTTGGGCAAGCTGAACATTTTTTCTACTATGAATGGTTCAGTCCCCTGCCCCTATTTGCCTTTTTCTTTGAAAACAAAGTTAGAGAAAATGCTAAATCTTTGGATATTAAACAGTTCAGGGCGACTAGGCATTGTTTCCATTGCGAATGACCTAGTCATCTGCCTAAAAGAAGAGAGAAGTAGTTGTGCAACCTGTTCGTGTATATCATAAAGACAAGATGGGCATTGTTTCCATAACGAATGATTCAGCTCTACGTCTTATGTAAGATGGGTATAAGGATTCAAGAACTTGAAGATTCATGAACTGTATATATGGAATGAACTTGGGCTAGTGAGGGTACTTTCATTCGTGGTTTGGTTTGCATGTGACTGGATGGGATAACTAGTTTTGTTTGGGTTTCAATTTTATAGGTAGTTGCTTTAGTTGCTCGCCACGTGCTAGAGCCATTGGAGTTAGTGTCAATTTCTGCATTTTCTGTAATAACTTTTTTTACTTAGGTCAATTCCTGCATTTTCTGAGATCTTTTCTTATACTTGGCTTTGTATAAATTTTGGCAAGCTACTTTTCCTACTGGAAGTGCTGCCGAAATTTTTACAATCCAAGAAGTTAGTCAACTTTTGACTTGTCAGAGTTCAACTTATCTTTTCCATATATCTGGTTTAGTTAAAATCTGGGAAGTCTCATTTTCTAGTAGGAGTGTTGCCCAAATTTTTGTTAATTCAGGGAGTTAGACAAAATTGAACTTTGGGAAGCCAAAGTTGCTTTCAAAATCTGAACTTAGCCTTGTATAAATTTTGGAATAACACTTTTCTAGAGGGAGTGCTGCCGAAATTTCTATAAAATTAAGGAGTTAGTTAAATTCAGTCTAAAATTGAGCTCGAGCTGTTGTTCGAGTTCATATCTGACTGAGTATAAATCTGGTAAGTCTCCCTTTCTAAAGGGAGTGCTGCCCAAATTTTCACTAATTCAGAGAGCTAGACAAAATTTGATTATCCAAAGTTAGAGATTACTTTTGCTTTT